GCAAACGAGAGTTGATATTTAAAAGTGATATAAGACCCATTTGCCAGATGAGTTGCCAGGGATGGATGGCCCTTATTTTGTCTCTATTTCTGGTTATATACTCAATGTCAACTTCACTTCATATTTTCATGTGGCAACCCTGCCAACTGATTAAACTGAACAGATTCCAACGACACCAACGCCACCGCCTTTGGGACCTCGCCCAATTTTAGCTGTCAAAGTGACATGACATTTATAATCAAAGAAACCATGATCGAGGCTAGATAATGTGATTCGTTAGTATGTTAGTAAATCTTTTTTTTAAATAATTTGACAATAACATGTGATAATATTAGCTAAGGTAAAGCAAAGCACGTTACGTAAACAATAAGTCAAAATATTTGGGACTTGAATACACGTCCATGCTGCACCGTAGCTGCAGCGTAGCTCCTCACCGATGGATCTACGAGTCCAGTTACCGAGCCGTCGAAATTCTCCTGTGTTCGATATTCGTATTCATAATTGAAATTATTTCACAAAAAATCTCAATAAAGTTACATTAATAACTTGTTTTATTTTCGAAAATCAAACTTTAAAAGTTATTTTGTTATTTATTTATGGTCACAAAAAATACTTTGAGACCGTTGTATTCGTAAGAGTGTCTTTGCACTTGATATATTTTATAGAGTCTGTCTACCGAAAGGTGAGACTGGATAAAAAGCAGGAAAATTGAAAATAATTTCGAATGGTATCACACTAACAGTGTTATCTCCAAAATTGCGTTATATTATATTTTATCTCAAAATTGCGTCATATTATAATGTGTCATTCATATAAGATTTAATTTCAAAGTGACAGGACAACACTGTAAATAAGTAATTTTAATATAAATTAAAGCCGTTTTGAGATAATACTATATTAGTTGTCATGTCTGAATGTGTAATTATATGCGTTTTATGAATTGATCTGTGAATCATTTATATGATCATAATTTAGGCATGTTAAGACCAACTGGGTGAAGTTGGTGGCAGACGCCTATACTCGAAGGCTCTGTCATGACAGAATAAAGAAAAAAATAAAAAGTACCTAAGATATTAATGCCCAATACTATGTATGTTTATTGGCAAAGATCTATATTATTATGTCGTACTAAACAATGGATTTGAAAACTTCACGCAAATATTTTTGAGATTGTTTGAAAACGATTCCTCTCTCCTCTTGTTTCTCTTTAAATTTACCAATCATTGTAAAAAAAGCTTCAACAAAAATCGCAGATAACACAATACAACTGACCATATGAATACCAACTTCCAAACAGTGGCATAAATACTGGGGTAGTCAGAGATTTAAAAAAGAAAATTGCAGTCTCATCTTCCATTAGTCTCTCTACCTTTCATTACGGCTGTCATTTTGTCAAAATATTCTAACGTGTTCTAAGGTTGTTACAAATATACGCCTTGTAATTTAAACAGCGAAATAAAACGTATACATTTATTTCACGCCCTTTCCTAAGTACAGGCTGTCAAAATTAATTACACTGTGCCTCCCACATGAATGAAATAAACGCGAATACCCGGAATACATTCCTAATTCGCTTGAATGCACATTATGATGAACGCTACGCCACCAACTTATATTTGCTGTTCAGAAAATTGGAAATGAAAACTAGTTTTATAGCCTTGGCAAATGAGTCGATCTTTTAATTGCTAACAACGACAAAAAGAGTATATTAATATGCGGAACTGTTTTCTACAACACCAAAGAAAAAAAATGTATATATAAATGTATATTGCATATTATATATCATTTGTATGTATATATTAATCTGTATATCTACAGATTCTGAAATGGCGACAGAAGTAATAATTTTGAACACCATCAATCCATTTATACGTCCCAATGCTGGGAACGGATCTCCTTTCAAATCCGGAAAAATAGTTTCATTTCCTATGTATAACAATCGCGAAAACCTAAGAACTCGATAAACAATATAAACATAATAATTCTTAAAAATTAAATCAAGTAACAAGACGAATAAGTCGTGCACCTGGTGGTAAGTGACATTACTTATAATATCAAGTGACGGGACGAACAAGTAGTGCGCCTGGTGATAAGCTACACGCCTGTTCATAACAGTTGCAGTGCCACTTAGAGCTTTAAATTGCATAGATCAGTAGAACTAGCACGATAGGGCGTGTCTAGCACAATAGCGACATAAAGCGCGAGATACCACTATTCTCGCACTTTGTGTCGCTCTCGCGCAAATCGCATTTCATCGCGCCAGTCCTACTGACAGTGGCACTGCCACTGCGTCCGTCACTCTGAAACATAAGTTGACAAGTCCCATGTAAGTGACATGCCTACTCTTAACAGTTGCAGTGCCCCACCGGAGCTTTAAACGCAAAGATCTGAGGGGCACTGCCACTGCATCCGTCACATGAATGAAATAACATTGGTAACTCCCATGTCCCTGTAATTTCACCACGATCGTTACCCTTCAAAACTGGAATGCACTAATTGTGACATGGTTATGTGTATTAGTGCGTCAAGTGGTTACTTGGCGGCAGACAAACTATCATGAGGAGCTACAAAAACAATATGAAACTCGAAGGAAAGTAAACACAAAGTTATTAGACTTAGATTAGTTAGTTTTAGTTAGTGTTTGACGAGGATTTGTATGCCAAGGAACGCATCTATAATTACTGGCTATGTAATCAATTGTTTTATTCTTCATTATTATCAGAAACATTCCACCGACGTCTTGTATTGCGCCACGCGTCAAGCAATCTCCGTTCCCGCCGAGACACATGTAGTGCTTTTCTCAAATAATGTCAGGAAATAATAAAAGAGTAAAAAGACGATATATAATAGAAAACGTAAATAAAAAAAATAATCTAGATTAAAATTAATATTTGACCTGGTAGGGCAATCGCTAAAAGAAAATGTTAAATATTGTTTTTCCAGCCCCATTAATAGTAGTTTGCTGAACTTCTGATAATGTATTTGAATGTCCATCACTGTATTTTCCTTCTCACTAGAATTTATTTTCGCAAGAAAAATAAAAAAAGACGATAAAACAGAAAAGAATATCAAAGCACTTTAGTTTATTTTACCGCCTTTTACAAGTATGTATTTTTCATTCTATCCATTACGAACACTTGGCAGTTGGCTGTATGAGTTTTCTTTTGCCTGTTTTTGTAGTTCGTTATTAGTAAATAGATTTAAAAGTTTAGAGTAGCGCACGGTAATAGACTCTCTCATACCTACATTGCAGACCTTGGCCGGAAAGAAATCGCACGGTCCATAAACGGCAAACTTCCCGTGTTCATTTTTTGAAAGTAATGCAAGCATTTCCGAACATATTTGTGTATATACACATTGTAGCATACGCTATAGCCTCCTCGTATTATTTGCAATTCTGCAGTTTGACCGGGAAGGTAACAAGATTTTTTTGTTCGAACATAATTTTTTCAACAAGGGTTAAATTTCTTAAAATGGTTTCTGGACGTTTCTTGACCGTATTCCGAGATATTTAGTTCAATCTATTATATTTAATACAAGAATATTACTTTCATTTCATACACTGCTTCACGGTGAATTTATAAAAGAATAATCCTTGACTTAAAATGGTAGATGACAGAAAGAAAAAAATATGCATTTGTTTCGGCTCTCGCGCTCGTGGAAGGAGGTTGAGAAACGTTCAGAAACCAGTATTGCTACAGTCAAAGGAAAAGAAAAGTTAGGGACAATATTTACGTTGAATTGGAAAGGAATTAAAAAACATTGTGCCACTATCTCGCAAAAGGTAAAATAAAACTTAATGTCTAAACATTTGAATTCAAAATGGCTTCCGCTCAGCATATTTGTCGGATTGTGCATGCAAAACAAGCTAACGCTTGTTTCTGTAAAATTGTAGAGGCAAAATCATTTAGTACAATTGCTCGGTATTGTTAAAATGGTTCTGTTTGTGTGTCTGTTTTGGAAAGGATGAATCAGTGTAGAATTATTACTAGCATAAACCAATTTACATTCCAATGTCGAACACGAGGTGGAAAAGTTTTGTGAAGTGTCTTCATCATGTAGTCATCACGTTTCTTCATCATCAAGTTTTGGTAATTGAAAAATTTTTATAATTACTTTTATACTTTTTATATAATTTTTTTAAAACTTGTATATAAAAAAAATTAATATTTTTTTCATAATCTTTTTTTATATATTCTTTAATGGTGGACAAAAACGCAGCTGCATGTTAGAGACACCGTATAGCTCTAGGATGCTACAGTACTAAAATCGCAAGGGACACCGTGTATCTCGATGCACGACGGGTTAAATCAAGAGATAATAAATTATCTAAACTTCTTACGATTTGATATATTGCTCAGGGGTGCAGACCCTCCTCTGGGAATCAAGGCCGTGACTTATACATATAGAAAGCAATCTCTTAACATAGCCACTATTGTGTTGCTGAATCATATTTATGGGTATTTTCATTACACCATTTACTATAATTTGTCATAAATCGTAAGTCAATGCGTAAATCATAAACTTTTTACTGACTATCATACAGGTGCACACAATGTTTATGGATGTAAACTGTTTCCCAGTTCTATTTCTCTTTACTTCTTGATCTTAATAGATATTGACGCATTTTCCTCAGTAATAAAATTAACTGCCCTTGTAGCCGAACGGTTAATATGCTGGTCTGCCATGCAGAGGTCCCGAGAGAGAGAAGTATTTGTATGGCCTACATTTATTTTTTTCGTGAGTTTGGGTGTAATTTGTGGTTATCTATATATATGTCATGGCACCCGCGATACACTACGCACTAGGGTTTCCCTAGTGCGGGGCTATGTGTGAATTCGTTAAAAAAACGAACTCTATTGCGGACTGGCGACAAGAATCTACCCGCGTGCAAAGAAAAATACATAAAATGTCTTCCTTGATCAGAACGGTGAGCTTATTTGACTACAAGAGAGCGCTTGACAAACATTATTTTAATTTTACTTTTTCAAATATTTCAGGCAGCGGTAAACTAAATTTCGACTCGTTCGTCCGTGTGGCGACTCACTTCTTAGACGAAGATGATGAAGCTCTGCAGAAGGAGTTGAAAGAAGCCTTCAGACTTTATGATAAAGAAGGTATGTTTTTAACCTTACATTGATTTTCAGTTGTTTGCCACAGCGGGCCTAATTTTTTTAAGTCAAGTTTGTCATCTTTAGTTAAATTAGATATATGATATTGGGAAAAGGAGGGAGTAAGTAATATACGGTTTCGTACTGTTACCTAGTTTGACCAAAAAATAAAAAAGTAACGGGAAAGGTCACTCTCCGCCCCTCTCTAGCTTTAGATACCTCACCGCGCCCTGCATATCGTTGCGACATTGGCAGATCAGTAACAAGGCTGTTAACGAGGCGTTCACTAAGGACGTCTTTGATGTTTAAATACTTTAAATTTATTTATTACGAACGTACGTTACTATATGATGGTTCGTGAATTGTGCCATGTACGGCTGTGTATTTTCATCTATTATATATAATGATATAATAATGAGAAGAGTTTCTTTCGTTAAAGAAAGCTTTTTATTAGATTTCCAATTTTCAATGTAATGCGATCTCAAAATCTCAAGACTCGGATTCAGAATGAATACAAATCGGATGCGGTGCGCGAACGCGGTTATTCATATATATGTTCTTTTGTTTAAGCTACTTATTTGACTTTATTTAACTTAACTGGTAATTTACTGTTGTTTTAGTATTTAGTAAATAAAATCATTAGTATACGTGATGATCATACATTGAGTATACAACCATAAATAGAGACAAAATGTCATTAATTTAATTTGTTTAAAAACTATTCTACCATATCATTACTGTGACAACTGCGCTCCGATTGGCTAGCCCGAGTTCGAAGCAATTGACGGGTGTCGTCAATGTGTGTCGTCAACTGTTTCACTTCAAATCGACTAGTTAACTTGAGCTTTGCTATAATGGACGAAAATTTGCAAAATCACATATTTCATTACCGATGAAATGTGATTCCGTATTCCGTTTGTTTTGTAATGAGATGTTTTGCTGTTTTTTCCACACCACCGAATAGAACAGCACGGCATTGTTAGAGATATTATCTTTACTACAATAAATTCAGAATATTTTTTGGAATATACGGAGACGTACACACAGGTGAGTAGTTGACCTGTCTATATTTCAGTGCAAACGAGATTTGATATTTATAAGAGCTGTATCGCTAATGTGTTACCAGGAATATATGGCCCTTATTTCATCTCTATTTCTGGTTATATACTAGATGTGATCATATTATTTACATGCAGTACATTCGTTCGTCCTATGAAGTCACTATACACTATAAACCAGAGGATAAATAGTACAAGAAAGTGATGGGTAACCCTATCACTTCACGCACACATTTGCGCGTGTGTAGACAGAGCCTTTCTGTACGTAGTAGTAGTAGGTTAATAATTTTCTATCGTAGTATGGAGTGTCCGGGGTATGGTTTTATTACGAAACTCTATTAGGTGAGATCCATGACCTTGGAATCAGGAGCGAACATCACAGAGAGTGTGCGATGGAATTACACGATTTTACTCCGCCTTCCCCTTTCTGTCACCGAGGGTATTATGATATTAACATATCATGCCAGAAACATGGAATAGTGTGTGGTAGAGAAAAAAATTGACTACGATACGTCATAATAAGATAAAAAAAATTGTATAAGATTAGATTTAAATATTAGATTATTAGTAGCAGTGAAGCTCCTTGTGAAAGAGTTCGTCCGGGAAAATATTGCGACCTTACCTACTTCTGCCACCAAGGAGTAATTTGAGCATTACTGCGCTCTGGTTTTAAAGGGTACGGGTGCCGATGACATTACAGGCACATGTGACGTGTAAACTTTATGTCTCAGGATAACGGGCTCAGTGGCAGTGCTCCTCAGATCTATGCGGTTTAAAGTTTGAGTGGCACTGTTAATTATGAGTAGGCGTGTCACGTAGCACCAGGTGCACTACTTGTTCGTCCCGTCACTCGATATTATAATATAAAAAAAAATTGATTCAGTTAGCCGTGAACATTACACCTATATAGAGCCTACCACATTGATTATTTAAAAAAAAACAAATATACGCGCGATTCCCAACAAGTCTCTATTGCGTAAAACCTAAGAACTTATACTTAAAAATTCATAGCAATTTCCTTTTTGAAATTTCCTTTCAGTGTCCAAAAAAAAACTAATTTAAAGTCTCTAAGGTTCAAGTGTTATTATGTTCAGAACATCAATTTTATAAATTACTTAAGCCCCACTACTGGGCACGGGTCTCCTCCCAGGCGAGGGTTTAGACCATAGTCCGTCACGTTGGCCCAATGCGGGTTTGGGACTTCACACGTTTTCCCAGGGTTGTGAACCTTATTCGACGTGCAGGTTTCGTCACACCGAAAAGCTCATGGTAAATTTCTAATTAAATTTCGCAAATAAATTCCGAGAAACTGAGAGGTGCGACCCCGAATTCAAACCCACCTCTGCTTCCTCTGCTTGAGAGACGGTAGGTCTAGCCATTATGCTACCACGGCTTCAAAATAATAAAATAACAACAAACAAAAAACCTTAATAACAAATTGTATCACGACTCATCAATTCTACCAACACTCCGGAAGAATAAAGAAGCTTTATAAAGTCTGTTTCCTCCTTAACGTTTTCGTTATAATTTCACCAATGTAATAACGACGTTGTGTCCTTTGAAGAGCTGTTATACAACCACAAATCCATAACAAGGAGCCCTTAAACTGTGAGTGGGTAAAAAAGTAAAAGAAGATGAGTATAGATACATGTGTAGATTTACTTTTTTTGTGAGGGCAATGGTACAATTGCAATACACAGTACCTTCCGTTAAATAATTTTAACACAGAAAAATCTTGTAAAATTATTATTTTTACTTACAAACGTTCATTTTAATTGTAAGTTAAATTAATATCAAATTAAATTAAAATCACGTATATTTATTTTTTTAAAACCTGTCAAGAGGTTGGTATATTTGAAAATGTTTGAACGAGATTTGATTCCGAAAAAATAGTTTCATTTCCATCGCGAAAACGTAAGAACTGGAAACATTTCAATATTTTGTGTAAAAAATATGGCATTCGATTTAGGTGTATTATTTTTTTTTTTTTTTTTTTTTTTTTTTTTTTT